ATAATAATAATAAATATTTATTTATACTCACTAAATATGATAGCACACAAGTGCTAGTTTGAGCGAGCTAAAGAATAAAAATTCAAAAGCTATAAATAACTATATTATACAAGAGACAAGTGGGATATTCCATGTTATACCACGAGAAAGCATTATATAACTATGTTATCCATAATTGTTTTGTTATTAATAGATCAAGAAAGACCAATGATGACATCGTTCTYGATTTATCCAAAGACATTCGCTCTCGATTACCCATGCGAGTAACCATTATCAAGAAGGATTTCTCGTTCCATKCTGGTTCAAAGAAAAGCTCCAGTAGTTCAGATCAGCAGCAACTGCTCAAGAAATGGAAGGAAGAGAGTACCAGAGTGAAGAGTAGTCAGTCCACATTGCTTGTCATCTTGGAGCAAGAGGTGCAGAGGTTTGATCGTTTGTTGGATGTCATTCATACATCRCTAGATGCGCTGTGCTTGGCTATTAAAGGACGAATCATCATGACCAGCGCGCTGGAACAAGCTTTTAATGCRCTGCTCAATAACGCCGTTCCTACGCAATGGAAGGTAAATTTACAATATTTAGAATTTCTTTTTCTTACCTTTCGATTCTCTTCTCTCTTTCCTTTCCTTTTTACCTTTCAATTTCTSCTATWTYCTCCTCTCAYTTCCTMTCCTCTCCTCTCCTTTCCTTTCCTTCTTTTCTTSCTTCTTCTTTTGTTTGGGTATATAATMSAAGGAGTATCAAAGTGTGTATTTGATTTTTTTCTCAGAACGCAGCGTATGAATCCTGCAAATCACTCGGAGCTTGGGTCGACAATCTCGCTAAACGAGTGGAGTTCTTTGGTCGTTGGCTTGACCTCGTTAGACAAGAACTTGATCCCAAGAAGCGAGCCACCTCACCGGATGACGATACCATGGGATACATGCATCCCAGAGCTTATTGGTTGCCTGCTTTTTTCTTTCCACAAGGTCAGTAAAATATTTGCCTCGAGAATCTCTGTTCCTAGAGAGATTGAGTAAATCTGAAATAGTACAGGACTGTAAATCAGATAGAACATTTGCTCAGCGATTGAAAATCCTGCACCTGCGCTTTTCCATCCTTCCAGATGAGGAAAATCTCAATCTCGTACCCAGACCCTTTATTCTTTACTGCGCATGCTCGACGAAATAAATAGTAAGGCTCTGGGTACGAGATTGCTCATGTTCAAAAATACGTTGCTACGCACGCGCAAAGCCTGCGCGCTAAGGTAGATAGAATCTTTGTTTTTCAATRGTCAAGTTAAGCACGGGTATAGCGCTTTTCTCAATTAGACTTGCTTGAGGTTAGGTTAGAGGTTAATTATAAACAGAAACAATATCTCAAACCTTTCTCTTCGCTATGTAATACTAGCCAATACTTAGTTTCTGTACTTTATTTGCAGGATTTTTGACCGCTGTTCTTCAAACCCACGCGCGAACCCGCGGGATACCCGTGGACTCGTTGTCATTTGATTACAAAGTGCRSAARGAACGCTGGACTGCAGAGGAAGAGGTTCATAGTGAGGGTGATATTGACTTCCGGAAAGTAGCATTTCAGGTATACTGTTCAAACAAACCAACCTAACTAATTCAAACGGGTTAGAGCTGTGTTCTTAGGTCATACATGGACTGTATAGCGGCTGTCCGAGGCGCCTTCACGTGTACTGCTGTACTTGTGGTCGTGATTATGGGATTAGCGATAAATTCAGTTTTTCTAACTCAGTTTTTAAATAGCCTAATTTGATATATCTATTTATAATACACTCAACAAAATTACTCGATTCTGATTGGACAAGAGGAGTACAATTAAATCCCAAATTGTACTCTTTAGAGTCCCCATTAAGCTGCTCAATTTTTGTTGAGTGTTAAGAAACAAAAAGTTAAATACTCGTGTTGTTTTGAAAGTTCTCAAATTGAACTCGCCTAAAAGCTCGTCCAATTTTGAAAACTTTGAAAACTTTACTCGTATACCTATAAGTTCCTAACTGTTATAGAGATCGTGCGATTTCTTATACAAAACCATTTGATTATCTTGATTCGTGATGTCATAGGGTAAATGTTACTAAACATTTTCTAACTGAATTCGTAAACAAATAAAAAAAATCTGTAAAGCGCGCATTGTTGGTGAGCGGTCAAGCATTGGTTTTTAACCAATCTAAAAGCGACCGACGTGATGTTATATTAGGGGTGCTTACCATTTAAACCAATCCATCGGATTGGAAATTCATATTTTAAAGAAAAGAGCAGGAAACTTTGACTTTCGAAAAATGGTACACGCGTCTACCGAAAGAACCGAAAAGAGCGGGAAATGTGAATTACCTCAATCRGAAGACCGAGTTTTCCACGRAAGTTACTGATTGGAATGACACATATCATTTGTTTTCHAACCGDTAWTTCCGTGTAAATGCTAAGCACCCCTGTAATCTGTTGATTTTCCAGGGCCCTCCCCCTGAAGATGGCGTAACAATATTTGGACTGTACTTGGATGGTGCATCATGGGATTCAACCCGTGGCTACTTGTGTGAGACACAGACCATTCAGCAACGTGTTCCTTTGCCGGTGCTGCAATTTATTCCATATCAGGTAGGTGTCTTCCGTTTTCGTGGTTACGAATTGCCGCAGCATTGAATTGACGGCATTGAATTGAATTGACGCAAAAATCAACTCCTTAATTCCAATTCGATCACGGAATGAGGGCCACAGGTTTGTTAGCCACTGGCTATTAAGTGCTACCCTCGTGGGGAAAAAAAGGACGTTATTATTTCTTATTGTATTCGTGCTATCGTATCATTATCATCATGTGTTATCATCATGCATCACCATAATGTATCCTCATCATCATGTATCATCAACATATATCCTCATTATCGTCATGTTTCACCACCATCATGTATCCTCCTCCTCCTCATCATGTATCTTTATCATCATCATTTATCATCATTATCATCATGTTTCATCATCATCATCAAGTATTAACATCAGTATTATCATTCATCATCATCTTTTTTTTTCCTTTTRAAACTAGAACGTCGAAGACAAACCCAACCAGGACGAGAAGCAAGAAGAAGAAGACTTCGAAATTTACGACTGTCCCGTATACAGAACCTCTCTCCGCGCCAGTTCCCTCACGTCCATCGGACACACGACGAATTTTATAACGTCGGTCAGCCTTCCGTCATTGAAGCCAGCGGATCATTGGATCACACGTGGCGTGGCTCTTCTATGCCAGCTTGATGAGTAGTAGAAAATTTATAGAACTCTTTCTTTATTTTTTTATTTATATGTTTAAAAAACAATGAGAATTCACAAGAGAGTCAAAGGACGAAAACAGGGTGGCCACGAGTCTTTCTCTATCAAATACCGCCAACATGGCCGCGATGACGTAAAGAATTCCCATGATTCATTGCACTTTTGGTAAGACTTTTCTAAGGAGTGATTTGAAAATTAATATTTTTGAWGAACGTGCGTATTTTACCACAAAATTGAATTTTAATTCTTGTCTTTTAATGAAGAAATGAAAAAACGGTTAGTTTTCATCTGGTCGGCGGGGAAACACAACTTGTCATTCAACTCTCTCAAAACGTGCTAGACTATTCAGTGACGGAAGCGCCGTGTTCAAAACATCACAGCTTTTTATTCAAGCCYTTCTAAACCCGACGCGTTGACATTAATATAAAGTGACGTGTAAAATGAACTTGGATGACGGCTGATATAGCCTTGAAAGAATTAACCATCAAAATTGGGCTTTAAAAAAAAACAGACTCGGTTAACTTATTTATTGGCGATTGCAGTTGAGCTAGATTCGCTTTTGTAAAAGGTTATATAATATTTATTGGATATGTGAATAGTTGGGTTTTAATATTTCATATTTTTGTTMATGTGTTTTTACACAGAACTTATATTTTCATATCTGGTTTTTATATTGAGAAATTAAATATGAAATTAAAAATTTGATTCTGTATTTGAGGACTGAATTAGAAAAATTAGACTTTGCCTTGGATTAAAGAAAAAGACAGAAAAAGTGGAGAAAAGTGAAAAATGTTTTCTTTATTAAAAAACTTGGCATCGTAAATTTGTTTTTCAAAGGAACAGGAACAATATAGAAAGAAACTGTACATTTATTCACCGGCGAATTGATATATTCATCTTTTTTTTTTTTCATCGTTAATTCGCTATCCAATATTAAAGTCCAATTTTCCTCTATTCTTTGCGCTGCTTTTAACATTCAAGAGCTTTATTCCTCACCATTAAGAAAAAGAACAAATCGATGACACATTAGTGATGAAGCTAATGTGAATCCATCTCCACAAACCGATACTAACTTAATGAACGATTCATTTCCGATTTCTAAATCGTATACTCTATAGATCCTAACGACTTAAATACCTGCTAGCGACAGTTTGACCTTAACGCTAAAAAAATAATGTGTTTGCCAAGATAATATTCGAGTCAAGACTATGTTAATATTTGCGGCGAAAATCTTCATTAGAGAACCGCTTTGTTTTTGATTTCCATTTATTCCAATGAGCTAATCAATTAATTCCTTACATTTAGTTTTATCGCTCGTTGCAATATGAATATGGACGAGAACTAGCCAAATAATGGGAACTTCGCCAGCTGGGAAGACTCGTATTTTGGAATCATATAGCGAAAACAATTTATCGAGGACTAAGCTAGGAAGTTATTTGTCGCGCTCTGAGCTACGTTTAAGGTTTTTTCTTAGCCATCCATTTTCTAGAAAGCCATTATTTAAGAAGACACTAGGATTAGAGTGTCGAGTGTACTAAGTTAAAAAGTAAAAACCTTGGAGGAAATTGTTAAATGGTCGCCTCACTTGTTTCCCTTTTGTTCAAAGCTTATTAAACTCTCTTTTGTCCTACAAACATCTGTCGAGCTTTCATTACATTCGGAGCTTAAGGAGTGAAAGAAAAAACGTTTAGGCGTTTAGCCTTTCCTTTACAATTCCAAGCGACAGAAAAACGGCAACCGGCCAATTCAACAGGGCGGGAAAGACGACACTTCTCTCTTGGTATTTTCATGAGGTAAGTGAGCTTAGATGTTGTTTAACACCTTTAAGAGCACGTTATGTACACAGACATACCTAAAGGTGACTAAAAAATAGCTTCAAGACTAGAGTTTCCTGTGAAAAGTCTCACCTTCGTGGAAAAAAATAGATATTTTTCTCACATAAAATTTCGTACACAAAATTTACGTACACAAGACGAAGTATTTTACACCACAGATGAAAAAATAATTGTTCTTGAAAAAAGGCAAATTTACTTTTATAATTCATAACAGCTAAATGAATCGTTCAAATCGTATTTTTTAATCATTTTGAAGGCACATCTAGATTCCCCGTTTTCCATAAAATTGAATCAAAATCTGTGTTTTCCACTGTTCCCAATTGTTTAACCTAAATTTCATTTCTTATGAATCTTTTTATCATGAAATAACCAAATTTTAAAAATTTCTCAGTACAAAGATTACTTATTTTTTCATCTATAAAAAACCTGAAATGCTCTCTCTTTCCTACAATTCAAAGAATCCATCTTTTTTGGAATAAATAGCTTGATGTTACATTAAATGTTCGAAACGATTTGAAATAATAGCAAGATTGATATTGATCGCCTCAAATCATATTGCTCACTGAATTTTCTTATCTCTTAAATAATTTAATTTGACCAAATAATTCCATTAATTTCTACGCGTTTTCTTGCTTATCTGTGGAAGAARTTGGTTATTTTGTTACTTTTGAATCATTTAGTCTTAACCTGTTCTTTCGTATAAATATTTCAGTTGGAATTGGATTTGAAATTTTCGAAATATAAATYGGAGAATCAAGATAAAGTTGATTCAAGAAAGGTGTTTTTCACAGCGCGAATGTCTGTAATTACTATAAAAACGAATAACACGTTCACGACAAGGGGTAAAAATAGAAGAAAAAATGTCCCGAGTTGATTGGCTTGTGCTTTCAAACTCGTACAGTATGTGACGACCTCTTGGGGTCCGTCTATACAACCATATGGTCAGGATCATTCAAGATTCAACGGAGAAAAAAGAAACGGGGGAAAAACGATAAACAAGCGAAGTAARAACCTCAAATGTTTTGAGGCGTTTTGTAAACGCGGGGCGAGAATAACACTCTTAAGCCTAAAGAAAAAACAGTATTTAAGTTTCAAGTGTTGGCGTGGAAATGATATTTTTTAATGTGTTTTTATAACCACACAGGATAAGTTAAGCCCTCCAGAAAATATTCATGAGTTTCTAGAGGATATTTCTCTTCCCACACCTGCGATAAATCACTAGAGAAAAATATTTTCCTTTCCATGGAAGTCTAATTTATCGTCAATTTTATACCACACCTAGACATTGCATCAAGACACTATCGTTGTACTAGAAGCTTATGATTTGATTCCTCTGTGAAGCAACATGGACAAGGCCATGTACACCCAACCAAGCCGYGTCTGTTCAGTCTGTGGAGACCGTTCCTCTGGCTTTCACTATGGCGTACAAAGCTGCGAAGGCTGTAAAAGTTTCTTCAAAAGAACAGTTCAGAAGCAACTTCAGTATGCTTGCGTGGAAAACAAATCATGTCAGATTGACAAAAATAACCGGATAAGATGCCAGTATTGCAGATTTCAGAAATGTCTTTCATTGGGGATGTTAAAAGAAGGTACATTTTTGAATTTTGTTTGAAATCTTATCACAGGAAACATTCTGTCTTTTTATGTCATATCTTGGATATTAGACCTTTGGGAAGCGAATGATACTGTGGTCGCTAATCGGAGTATCTTACAACATTAAAAGATCGTAAAATCCATTTTCTATGATTCTAACTTGGAACACTTTGTAACACCAAAGAGCTAACAGTTCGAGGTCGGGAATGTTACTGAAGAAGATACTGGAAAAAATACCTCGAATATCTGTAACATGTTGTCTTAAATTTCAGTGACATTTGGTTGATATTGGAGTCGCTACCATCATCAACGCGTTTACAAAACCTTACCCTTTAAAATTTCAGTTTGTGGAAAAATCTAGATTTYATTTAATACAAATTTTGTTAATTACGTTCGACGATGTTAAATTTAATGTTAGATAAGGAATTCAATAAATGCTTTTTTAGGGAATTGAAATGAAGGCACGCAAGAAATGTCTCTGGAAATCTTTTAATGCATGCGTTAAAAATAAGTGTTTTTTTTTTTCGCTCTTAAAGAAGTGTGTTTTAACGATTTCAAACTCAACAATATTTTTTYTAATCGCAAACGGAACGAAAATCTCACTTTCATTGATTCATTTCTAAGCTTTATTTAGAATAACATCTTTAACATCATGATACGTTATGCGATTATTTTTGGAGGATGTTATAGACTTTGRAGGATGGCGCACAATTACTTAACATGAAAGATCGGTTCGCAAATCATTYGCACTGAAATTTAATTGGAATTGCGGTGTCGGCCAGATAAAGAAAGAGGTTCGAAATCATCGCAGTCAGTTAKCAGGGAAATTTTAAGAAATTAAGGAAGTATCGGGACTGGTTAGGGCCGTGCGTGGAAATTCTTGACGTCTTGAGCCATTAATTGGGGTGCATTGTGGTCTAGTTTTAAAAAGTGACAAAGAACTAGAAGTGTTGACGATTCGAGTGTACTCACTGTTATGTGTGTATAGACGCGTACTAACAATATTTTCCCCCAAGGGAATGATACATTCTCTGAAATAACTAACCCAAATGTAATCATAAAAGGGACGGCGTTAGTGATAAAGGGTTATTTTTATGTCCATCAGCCGTTCGAGAAGATCGAGCCCCTGGAGGTCGACCAAGGATCAAGTCCTTGATTGGTTTGAAAGAAAATGCTGACACGTTTGTGTCATCGGAGCTAATTCTTCAACTGATTCAAGCAAGACCTGATGCAGTTCCAAAGAGAAGGTAAAGATGATCTATAGAACTGCATTGATGCGGGCTCACAATATAGTACTAAACTACACTAGAATCACTCTAATGAAAGACGAAAGCAGGGGAATGTATAAGCCTTTCTGAGGTTGAGAAAAGACTGGGTCGAGTTGACATTGCAGTGCATTTTGGGGCTGTTTCAACGGACGAAATAGCTGACTGCCATCTTGGAAATTTCTCCTAAGACAGCCCCAAAATGCACTGCAATGTCAACTCGACCCAGTTTTTTCTCAACCTCGTAACAGCTAATAGAAGTGACAAGAATAAAGAAACTTGGCCTGCTGGAAAGTGATTGAAATTCAGAACGAAATTCTGAGTAAGTTCTGATCATCTTGCCTTTATTGAGAAAGGAGAAGAACTGAGGAGACAAAAAGCAAGAACTAAATAGAATTAAATAGAAAGAAATAGGGGAAAAAGAGGGGGGAAAAGAATACTGAGGAACAAGAAAGAGACAAAGGGATAAGAATTACGGAAAGGAGAGAAAGGAATTAAGTATAGTTCAAAAATTCCGTTCTTTTTTAATCTTTTAAAAACGTCAACATCCACTCAGAGTCAATAAATTCATTTCATTTTTTCTGTCGTTCAGACCCGAATACCTTGAAGTTGGTCTTAACGACTTTTGTCCACTGAACCCGGTTGAAGCAATCATGGAACTAGCTCTGCAAGAAGTCGACCTCATCATAAAATGGGCCATGCGAGTACCTGGATTCTGTGACGTTGACCATGAGGACCAAATCAACCTTCTTTCTAATGGTACAGTAGAATCGTTTTTATATTTTTATTTAGGCTCCACTATTTGAGGTAATTTTTCAGATGGAATGGAACCCAATTGATAGGGGCATGCTCCCTCCTTTTACATCGAGGGGGGACTGGTTCGAAACGTCAGTACAAACTTTTTTATACGGTTCCAAGCTTTTTTACAAGGTGTTTTTTCAAGTTTCCTTCTTATTCACTTGTTTGTTCAACACAACAAATGTAGTCCTAAGTATTTAACCACTAGTCATTAAAGTGCACATGATGGTGACGTCAGGTAAGGTATTTGAGTGTTTTTGTTGTAACTAGTAATACTAACTGCTGGCCATTTTGAAAATAAAATTTTTAAATAGCTTTCACTTAAACCATGAGTAAAATAATGATGCTTTTTAAATACTTTATCTATGAACCAGTTCAAGTTCAATTTTGTATATTTAATTAAGCCTTCATAGACGTCACACTTATTAGCATATTGGAAGTATAAACCTTCATAACTTAGAGACGCATCACTCAAATCAAGAAATATTTTGCCATTCAACTATTTACTTCATGTAGAATCAGTATTGAAAGTATTGTCGAAGGGTTCATGTGCACTTTAAATATCAGTTTTCCCATTTAGAGAAGTATACGATGATTGTTGAATTTCGAAAATGGTGAAGAACGAAGTGCGCATTCTTGAAAATTCGTTTTCTTCGGAGAAGCACCAATGTTCGGAGCTTGTTCGYGTTTTGCGAGCATGCGCAGTACTATTTTCAGCGGATTTCGAGAAACGTCGGTATTTTGGGCTATGATGACTGGCATTCTTTTTTTGAAAAAAAAAAGATTGTAAAACTCCATTCATTTTCCCCCAGGAATACTGGAGCTGCTTATTCTTCGTGTTTGTCAAAGGTCCACTCCTCACCAGGGCTCAATTATGGTAGCAAAAGATGTCCTCCTCAGCCCAGAGACCACATATAATATAGTACTTGAACAATGGGCTGCGCAGTTGTCTTGCTTTGGGTACAAGCTCCAGAGTTTACAGCTCGACATGGCAGAGTTTGCCTGTGTTAATGCAATCATGCTGTTCGAACAAGGTAAAGGTACATTCAATTCTTGTTATTTCGATTCCAGCTTCTTGTAGGTTTTACTGGGATATAGTTGGATGCGCAACCGTAGAACGAACACAGGGGCCTGGAGACGAGATGGTATTCTGCGCATGGCAGCCTGCGCATGCGTTTTCCTGGTGAATAATTTACGAGGGGCGCTGATTAAGAGCAATACAGACTCTTTAAACTTTTACTGCATTTCATCGCGCGCCTTTGATTTAAGTTTTTTCCCTTCTTCTTCAATATAGTCGCCATACCGCTTGCTTTAACTTCCAAAGACAAAACTAAACATTGTCAATTTGCGCTTCAAAAGTTGACTAGTCAAATTATGGTCATGCTGCAGTAAGTGTTCAAGGAAGACTATTGTTTCACCTTTTCGCTAATGTTCCGGTGTTTGTTTTTATTGAACAGAATTGAGTTGTGGTCTTAGAAACAGAGAACTAGTAGAGTTCGTCCTCAACCGAACACTAGACGCACTTCGAGACTACATCAAGTCATCATATCCCGAGAAACCAAGTCGCTTTGCCCATATTCTTTTAAAACTACCAACTCTTCGTGACGTGGCATCCAAGATGGCTGCCGACTGTCTGTTTGTACAATCATTACTTCATTTAGCTGTACCACAACTCGTAGCAAGAATGATGGATGTACATCGTGAACGGCGGTAATACGAAGTCTAGCCGAATGAACACGAACGTTCGTCGGTTCGAGCCGATTGCTTTCGAGTTTTTAACTAGGTGACGGAAACGCCCTCATTATCCCAGCCCCGACAGAGATGTCAATTATCGAGATGTCGAATTATCGAAACGGAATCAATCTTCTCGTCTGTGGACTGTAGCCATTAGTATTTCCAATGAACGAAGCATCGCCGACGTACGCTTAACGACGAGCCTCCGAATTAGCTCCAACTTTCATCAGAAGTTGTTACTGAATTTCTGTACCTAATGCCTTTATGAACGCAAGAGATCAAAGAGAACTAGGGAACAGAACAAGGGAACGGTGCAATCATTGCTCCAGTTTTCGAGCGTGGCGACCGCTTGGATTGTTGCAGGACATGTCGCACTTGAATTGAAAAGCGAACTGATACATTTATTTGAATGAATTGAAAAAAATAATTCTGCTTTCTCTTCACTGACTTTTCTGTCTTTTCTACAGAAGAGATAACTAGCTAAAAACTAGTGTGAGCTGCGTCGGTGTTTCTAATGAAACAGTAATGATGAAATAGTAAATTATACACCGTGAAAAGATGAAAAAACTTACTGACGTTTCGGATGCTAGTCCTTCGTCGGAGTAAAAGACGAGAATATAGATTAGTGACATCACGCCTTCGTTATCCTGCGTTATCGTGCGTGACGTGCCGAGAGCGAGACGAAGGACTAGCGTTCATCTTTTCACGGTGTATAATTTACCCTTTTATCATTACTGTCTTTTCTACAAGTTCATAAATAAAGAATTACACGACAACAAAAAATCATGCAAAAGGTGTTCAAATTTTATGGACTAATGATCTTTGCTTGACCCCTTACATGCATAAATAAAATAACCGATTTAAATAACCAGCTACAGTTCGTTTGTTTGTTTGTTT